TGAGAGCTGGAGGTTCCTCGGGGACACCACTGATAGGTGTTGAGAATAATCCCCTTGATTTGGGTAAATAAAGCTAGAGTATAGCTACCTCAGATGTGTATATAATTAGCGCTTTTTACCTCCTAAATCCTCTTAGCTCTTAATATCAAGAATATCAGCAGTTTACTTTGATTCATCAATAATCATCCGTAAATCTTCTGCCAATTAACCTCCGTTAGCTCTTACCTTTACAACAGTTCTCTCATAACCTGAAGCGAACTATTACACTTTTAGTGTATGACCTTTGTCATACCAACAATACACTTGTTCTTCGACATTTTTCTTTCTAGAAATCCTTGACAGTTTCTAACAATTTTTGTTATACTACTTGAGTTTATGACTAATTAGCACTTTGGGCTACTCTCTGAACCAGGCCATACCTTGTAGAGTTATCCTATCATCTTTTGTCACTTGAAAGGTCACTGATGTATTGCCAGTGATGAACATCTATTAAGTTCAATAATTTTATTGGAATTATTGCGCAATGAAATGGGCGCAATATTCATAGAATGAAAGTAGAAGTTGACTAAAAGAGTGTCATTGTAAGGATTCTGGATTAATGCCTCAGGCAGTAGTCATGGGTTCCTTATTTAGCCCCACTAGCCTTTTTTTTTTGCATCAGATTTTAATTGCGTATGCGGCTATCTAGCTATGACACAATATCAGAGAAAAATACAGAAAAGATGACTCAATTTTCAAGAGGAGCACTCATGCCTCAGATTTCATTTGCAAGTACCACTGCGAAGTTATGGTGGCTTTTTCTTCACCCCAAGTCAACCCTCATCCGTGAATACCCACCCAGGGGAAAGTCTCAAAAACCCTGAGTTATCCAGACATGCCTCTGTCATCCATCAACTTTTCTCCGCGCGAAATGTAATCTGAGATGTCTCCTTCCCAAGTGGAGTAGGTGCCCAGGTTACTCAAACTATACCGGAGAACACCAGGGGGTAGATTTGGCATCTACTTTCGGAGTATGAACAGTTTGAATTTTGGCGGAAGCGTATATAGAACTGGAGAGGCATATACCAGAATTCCCTTTCAAGACTTTCAAGGCTTGTGGCTTTGGGGTCTTAATTGCAAGCGTGAGCGATAGCAGCGGGTCGGGGTGGCAGTCACTTTCTGAACTTGCGTCCAAGGACTCATTTTCGGATTCAATGATAATTGATTCAGCAGGAGAATGGTGACTCTCAGCAGAAGCAGCTAGAATTTATTCTTCATGTGAAGGTATAAGTGAGCTCTAAAGTCTTCCACGTTTGGCAGCATGCGTAATAACCCTCGTAGGTGATGCGATCACGTCAGGTTCTTCAGTCCACCGAAGAGCATGCTTTCTAATTTAGACTAAGATATGTTCAAGATAGCGGCACAAATGTATTGATGTGAGTTTGGCTAATTGACTTGTATGATTCAGTCCTGCTCCACGAATGATACTACCTGTCGAACCACACTCGATGGCGTATTTATTACTAATTTATTTTATTGTCCTATCTGATTCTATGACTATGTAAGACATGCAGGTCCTCTCTAACTACAGGCCAAGGATGCCCATACCAGTAGTATATCCCCTCCTATGCCTCCCATCCAGCTCCCCTCAAACAGTACCTTCCCTCACAAGTCCTCATTCGATCATACACTAAGAGGAGCCCTTAGCCCTTCATTATCTCCCCTCTCCAGCCAAAGAAACGATGGCTATTTGCGGGTGTATGGCAGCCGTGAAAAATCGCAAAAACCACTGGGTGCGGGGCTCTTTCAATGCCGACATTAGGACTGAATCCGAAGACATAGTGACACTTCTGAAGCGTTCGAAGAGGCCGGCCAGCTAGGCGCTGCAGACTTGTGGGTACCTCGGAGAATTCACCTCTGCCTTTCCAGCCTCCTTCCAACTTTTTCCCAAAAGTCGTGTTGGAATGTCAGAAAAGTCTTGACAGAGCGTGATTGCTGTATATTAGCTTAGCCCGACTTCTTTTGTACCGTCCAGGGCGTTGGGGAGTGCCGTTGATTCATCGACAAATGAAGCCCTCCTGGCTAATTAGCCGAAACCTTGGTCTTGGTGTCCACAAAAACTCCAATGTTGAAAACTCCTCGAAAATATCAGTCCTAGCATGGTCTTCAGAGAACTATTCTCATCTCGCTCCACATCTCAGCCGCCTGTTCTCCCTCAAATTGTTTGTCCCACTAGAGCAACAGTCCCCCATAAGTCAAGACCCCAACTTTTTATTTTTCGACTTGATTTCCTCCTTGCGGGTATAAATAGCGTCGTAAATTTGTAGTGAGAGATGGCTGGAAATTAATGGGACAAGCTCTTGTTTGAAATTGGAGCAACTCTTTTATCAGTTTATGAGGCTAGATGATTTGTGGTTGGAAAGAGTTTGAGGACTCTGAGGAGAATGGTAAGAGCTGCATTGTCGAGAAATCGTCAAATGGAGATATGAATGTATTTGCTTTCGTCTTCGATTCGGATGCGATTCTTCTTGGCTATCCTAGATATGCAGAGCATACTGAGCGATTACACCGGCACCACTGGGAGGTAAAGAATTCGTCTCTGCAGGCACGTCCGATGGCGTAAACCTCGTACTTTGTTGAAAATGAATTTCTAGAATGCACTCCTTGCACGTGACCTATGAAAACCTATAAACTTCATCCAATTTTCCAACAAGTTTCAACTTAAAACAATCCTTGTATTAACCTGTTCACATTCTTAGTGGATATGTGTAAAAAATTCTTTAACAATGTTCAAGATTAATATGACTATTCTACGTAATTTCTAGTGTAGTGTCACATAGAAATTTCTTTTAATGCTTAAAACAATTAGTAGTAATTGTATTGAATGATGTCTTCTTTTATTGATTATTGTCTTCGGATTTTCACGACGATGTATATTCTTTATATTAACCGAAATTCTTTAATCATTCACAATTAAATACCACATATTTTAATACTAAGTAGTGCATAATAAATCGAAAAAATAATTAGAACAAGGAGAATTTCATAGTTCATCCACTGCTGGTCGATTATACATTTTTACTCTTGCATTCCATATTTTGGACTTTAAATTTTAATCCCGGTGTTAAAAAATGAAATAATTCATCATCGAACTTAAAACGCAAGTTTAATATTCTATTTATTTGTTTATTCGTATATAAATAATTTAATTTGAATAAGAAAGAATTCATATAAATATAAATATAGATAGGGTTGAAAACTCTGGGGTTATTCCCAATTCGGTCTTTAACATGCCACTTTTAACCCAAAAATATTGTGCTAGCTTTCATATCATATCTTGCTCTTATATGTTGGTAAAGTCTTCAAAAAAATAAAAGCTCAGTCAAGTGACTACCTCATCACCATACTTTGCTACAATTTCACGGGGCTGGGAAATTAAATCCTTGGCGGCATTGGCCTCGACAGCCCCTTTACTGTCTAATTGAAATTTTGTTTCCTTTCAAAGCCTAAGTATATTTCATATACAGATGTATATAAAACTTACCATCACTCAAAAAATTTATGATAGGCATTTTAATTGAAGCTCTCACTATATATTGTTGGATCAGATTTGAAAAGCAACCTAAAATATGTTACAGGAGCAATTTTCATAGACGTCATTTTAAATGAATATGTACCTTAAAATCTACTCGAAAGATGAAGCCCCAAGCTCGCTTCTAACTTTGTGTCCAACCAAATTCATCTCTTGGGTCAGAATCAGGCCACCTTGTATCCACCTCCTCGATTTTCAGTTTTTATCAGCTTTTTCCTTGTAGTCTTCCAGTAAATTGCCCCGCTAAAGATTGATTTAAGGGCTTAGTAGCTTGGTAGATTCTCCAATTCTTCACTAGTCTCGCCAAAACCCTATATATTTCCTCTAACAATTTCCTCTACACCCATTCACCATTTTCATTCACTAAATTCAGAGCATTGTCTCTTACCCGCCTGCATTTAACTTAAGCATCTCCAACTACTGCATTAAACCATACGCTCATTCGAACACATCATCTGCTATCTAGAGCATTGATTTTTCAGCAAAATGTCCACTATTGCTGGTACTCCGCTACCATCTCAATCTACACTTAGCTCTAGTCATGTTTCCTGTCTTGAACCCAGCCCTACTAGTACATATGGATCAAGTATTGCAAGTGATGGTGTTGATGATACTCCCCGAACACCAGAAGACGGTAAGTATTTAAAAAAATTTTATCCGCCGTGTCGCAACTATTTTATTTATCTACTTCAACATTATTAACTTTCGGCTTTTTGATTAATTTGGAACAATTTATATCAATTGGTTTTATTTTGTTTTGAGAACTAGTACAATCTATAAGTTATCTTTCAAAAAATTTTGGTAAAGTATAAACTAAGTTTTTTTCTGGAAGATATCCTTTTGAAAAAGCTAAATAAGCTCAATATCTGCGATTGCAAATCGAAATCAATCGAGCAGTACGTATCACCTTTGCCTACCTAGAATTTTAGACCTAATAACTTAAATAGTTACTCCCCACCTTTTATTCGTAACGGTGTAAATTCTGATGATCCATTTACCACCAAAAAGCTTGAATCGCAGGGCTCTAGCCATCACACATCTACTGCTACTCACATTAGTCGCGCCTCAAACAGCGACAACTTGATTCCAACCACTATTTCAAAATCAGGTTCTCCAGTACTACCTTCGAAAGTTCCCTGCAGTGTAAAACATCAAATTTGTACTCCGAACTTCGACTTAGAAACAAGTAATATTAGAGGCACCAGTTCTGTACTAGTCAATTCTCAGGATGCGCAGGCTATTTATCCACCCTCGAGCTGCGTTTTTGTTGCTAAGTAAGTTTTAAAAGTATTCCTTGATAAATAACTTTTCTGAGAGCTTCGTTAGCCTTCTACAATCTGAAAGCGATGAGGCGCTTGAAGTTTCTGTACTTGAAGTATTTCGAGAGTTTGGTACAGTTTTTGTAAAAATTCGTCGTGATGCTAAGCATATGCCTTTTGCTTTCTGTCAATATACCGTAAGATAAATCAAACTATGCTACAAATTTCAACTGATAACTCCCAGAATGATGAAAGTGCGGAGTTGGCTATCAAGAGTGGGCGTGGTCGACTTATTAAAGGACGCCCATGTCGTTGTGAGAAAGCAAAAGCCCACCGTAAGTCTAGCTGTTTCTAACTAAATCTAAAAAGTTGTCTCTGATTGCGCATCTCAAGGCCTGTTCTTTTTTGAACGCAAGTATGGCGCTGCCATTACACCTGATGAAGTAGAGCTTTTACTGCAAGGATTTGGGAGACTTACTGAATGTCGACCCGCAACGCACCTTGAAATGGTTACAAATAATTTAGGTGAGGGTGTTGTAATCAACTTTGACATGTTTGACAACGGAAAAAACGCATGCCAGGTAAGTCTATTTAAATATGTGCTAATTTATTTTACTAGTTAACAATTCACTTGGATCTCACTATTTCTAGGCTTTTAAAAACCACGCATTGTATAGGATGATAAGTTTGTTCCATTTAGGCTCATCTAGAAATGATCGCAATCAGTCTGATCCGGCCCATCGTGCATACCTGGAGACTTACGAAATTGATCGACGTTCTATTTTTGTTGGTAACTTACCTCCAGACATCAGTGAGCTTGAAATCAAGGAGCTTTTCTCCAGGTTCGGTGACACTATTCATATTGCTATACATAAAAATGAGAGTACAGTAGATCGTGAGTACAGATCAGCAGATCTTATAACACCTGATTCTAACACTATAAAAGCATGTTCAAAGCATTGTTTTGCATTTATTGAATTTTCTAACCAGCCAAGCGTCGAAAAGGCAATACTTGAGTTGGTTAGTAGAATCCATTTTTTAAAATCATTTCCTTATTTTAATAGAATGGTTCCATACTACATGGCAGAACTCTTCGTGTAAACCAGAAAGATAGTGAAAGTGCCCGGGCTCGACCACGCCGCCAAGTTAGCCGACCACAAGGGCCAAGTAGTACACTTGCTTACCAATCACCAAACTCAACTCAACAAGCTCCCAGCAACTCTCCAATTAGTTGTTTAAGTCCCTCTCCAATTTGTCAGCCTCACTTTGGAGGCTATAGCTATGCAGCAAACGGCTACCCAAGTTCCTATTTCTTAGACGCTAGAGGGCAGTGTTGGGTTGCTCCAACTACATCTACATACTCTCCATCTTTTCCGAATGCTTCTCCATTTCAACCTTCCATATTTCAGAATTCACAATACCAAACAGCACCATTCTATGGGTTTTCTAGTTGTCCGCAAGGTCCGCAAAGTTATAACTGGCATCAAACACCAGCACCGGTTTGGGGTCCTCCAAATACAGCAACCAATATTTCTCCTCCGCTAAATCTGGCAACGTATTCCCCTCCGGCGGGAAATTATTCTCAAGATGATCGTCCTTGCACTCCAAACCAGAGTAGCCGCACAATCGTTGAATCTTCAATGAAGGCATCTGCATGAATGTCTCTAATCTTAAATCTAAATGCGACTGATGATTAGGCTCTACTTTGAAGGGAATCAGTTAAACTCTTATGTAATTGTTGCTTTTATGTCTATTATTGCATGTTTTTTCACCATGTTAAGAGATACCCGATGATTTTTCTTAATTTTTAGTTTTTAGAGCCGCTGTTTGAAGATAATGTTGCAAATTTCTAGCTATGATGCATTAGAAACTTCAAAATCTCCTTTGCTGCAATATAATTTATATTTTGCCTGAAATAGAATTTTGTTAGAGTTGCTTAACGGTTGTTTCACTGTGTATTTAAAATCTTTTTAGTTAGCAAAACAATATCTCTAGCTAGCTAAAGCTAATATCGAAATAAATTTTATATTTTATATTTATATGACTGAATAGAAAAACATAATTATAAAACAATCAAAGTCTTCTAGTCTGTTAATAATGAGCTCCAAAAATTTAAGCTAGAGCCTAGTATTTGAAAAGGAAAACTTGCAGGAGGGCAAGACCGAACACCTGTACGCGGTGTCCTCTACGAGCCTGGGAGTGAAATATTCTCCCAGAGCCAAGTTCTGTCAAATTTCGCAATACCGAACAAGTTTGCCCACGAGGCAATGATTCAAAACACTCCTCCACGTCAATTTTTCACTTCCAACGAGATCGACTCCCACCTTAGCCTCATCAAGTTTACAGGTTCAACCTAGTATATCCTTTTTCCAATGATCACACCTCTTGTCGACTTTCTCTGGCCTCAGCTGGTCACCAAATACACGCCCATGCTGATATTTACACTCTCTGGAGGAAGCAAAGCGTGGAGCACAAATCTGCGAGACAGTTCTTTGGGATGGACGTGAGAGGGATCAGGACAAGTTTACAAAATGATGCGAAGGAAGTATATAACCTCAAAGGGAGTGAAATTCCGAATTTTGGCAAGGAGTTTTAACAAATTGAGCTGTGTGGGTACCAAGGCTTCGCTTGCGAGAGTGCGGGCGACACTATAAACACCGCCTAGACTGGATGGTGCGGTGGTACATCGTCCTGGCCGGTCTGCTAAGTAAAGTCTTGATAGCTTGGACACATATCCCACTTGAGATAGGAGATCGCTGGTTCGAATCCGGCAAAACACAATCACATTTCTCGCGATGTAAGCTTACGTGGATGACGAAGGCATGCTTGGTGTCATAGATCAGATATAAAAGCAATGGGCATTTGTATAGAAGATGGTAGTTTATATTTCGACTAATGGTGAGCTATCTAGGAAGTCGGACATGTATTTATACATTCCTTTTCATACTATCCTCGGCCTTCATCCCAGGAATAATCACGGCTTACTGACTTAGATCCTTTTAGTAACTTCTCGTCTCGTCCCTAGAAGGATCTTTCTTCATTGCTAGAAGATTCCCACTCTCTCTAGGTCAAGCTCGATCAACTCTACTCTAGTCTCGAATGTTCCACCAGAAAAATATGCCAGGTAAGCATATCTGAGAATCTAAAAGAATATTCCTGATCATACCTCACAGGAGCCAAGAACTGTCTGCGCTAGCCAGCGTAGATTACAGGCATTACCCGGTTTACTAACCGTCACACTTGGATAATCAAAGGTTTTGAATATCCCTTTGGTGGGTAATCACGGAGGTTTGACTGTTTGTGTAAGAAAACATACCTCATAGTGGTATTTACGAATGAAATTCAGAGAATGAGTGTCTCTAACGGTCAAAAGAGTTATCCATCATGTATACATAGCACCGGTCACGTGCCATGTGTCATAGCTAAATAGTTAGTTACACATTATATATATATATAGTCGGCCAATAGTAGGAAGGCGGATTATAGCGTTGTTTCGCCAATGCGACCAGCTAGGAACCCACCCATCTATCTTCAAGAAGTCTAGTGTTATCATACTACCAAAATCCGGAAACCGCGACTTATCCCTCCCGAAATCCTACAGACCGATAGCTCTTCTTTCCTGCCTAGGAAAGGGACTCAAGCGACTAATAGCTCGAAGGCTCTCGTACATCGCACTCAAACATCGGATCTTAGCCAAGGACCAGTGCAGTGCAGTCCCTCGCCGCTCCTCCACAGACCTCACCACAGCTCTAGCATGCGATATACAAACAGCCTGGGATGAAAAGAAAGTAGCAGGAATCATAACGGTAGACGTTTAAGGAGCCTTTGATGGCATCCAAAAAGGGCGTCTCTCACTTTGTCTACGAAATCAGGGCTGGCCACCTAACGTGGTCCTCTGGGTAATCTCCTTCATGGAACAACGAGAGGCTAGAATACACCTAGATGGGTTCTCATCTTCATCGTTCGAGATCCTCTGTGGCCTACCCCAAAGCTCTCCTGTCTCTCCTATTCTCTTTCTCCTGGCAAGCGAAGGAGTGCTTCGACTGTCGCGCGACCGATTTGGGTACGCAGATGATATCTCTCATTTCTCTTCCGCGACCTCTCTAATATCGTGTGCCGGTCTCCTCCTGACTCAGATTAACAGAACCCTCTCCTGGGGGCTGGAAAATGGGTTCACTTTTGATACTTCGAAGACGGAGCTCCAGTACTTTCACCGGAAACGTGGCAATGTTGTAGAGCCAACAATCTACATGGGTGAAACTGAGATACTGCCCAACAACTACACCCGCTGGCTCGGAGTATACTTCGACCGTGGTCTACGCTTCCGATATCATGTTATTGAGACCTGTAGAAAGTCCCTAGCTATCACAAGCCATCTCAGACGACTCTCGTGCACCACCCGCGGTATCAGCCCCCCCCTTCTTAGACAAGCTTTTCAAGGAACAGCTTTCGCTATCCTCTTCTTTGGAGCCGAGACATGGTATTCCAAAAGTACTCCACAGGACATAATAAGGCGTGTTCAGTGCAGAATTAATGATGCTGCCAGAGCCGTCCTTCCTGTCTACCGAACGACTCCGACTCCTGCCCTTCTTCGAGAGACCGGATGGGGGACGGCTAGCTCATGGCTAGAACGGATACACGACCGCCTCGCAGTTCGAGTCGCGTCAGCAGACCCACGTCACCCTTTACAGCGGCGCTGGACTTCCTCCCGAATGTTGTGGATCAGACAAAAAACATCTCCCGAACTATCAACTGATACAGTACCACCCCCATGGAATACCAGTCGAGAGTTACTTCTACAAAATATCGGGGCTATAGGCAGAAAAAATGGCCGGAAAGAATTCATGAGTTGGCAAGCATCTCAACCCCCTTTGGATCTATTTGTCTTCTCTGACGGTGCCCTTTCAGAGGGTAGAGCCGGGTCCGGATATGTTATCTATCGGGGCCTCACACAGATAGTTGGGCAGGGGACCCTTCCTCTCGGAGAATCTGCCGAAGTGTACGATGCAGAAATAGCCGGGGCTACTGAAGGCCTAAGTGCCACCCTCCATAATCCGATGGCTCGATATGCCACAAATATTATGGTTTGCTTAGATAATCAGGAAGCCGCCCTTCGCCTCCTCATAGATATTCCTACCCCAAGCAGCTCTTCTCGTATCGCTTACTTTCGATACCTTGCTACTAAATGGATAGAGAGAGATCGTAGCCACTTTCCTGAACCGGGTGTAGTCAGGGTGCGATGGTGTCCAGGACATGTCGGCATACCGAGCAATGAAGCTGCTGACGCACTTGCTAAATAAGCATGCGCAACCCCTTCACTCCCCCTATCTCCAACAATCTCACGAGCAAAGAGAGACATAATCTCTCGATACAAAGCCTCTGTATCTCTGTACTGGTCTAAAAATGCTCCTGAACGATACCAAAAATTGGGAATTAACGCCAATTTTGGGAGCTCCCCCGAACTCAAGAGCCTTAACCGCTACGCTCTTGGTCGCCTTCTTGCAGCTCGCTCAGGCCATGGAGACTTTGCTGACTACCACCGCCGCTTTCAGCACTCGGACGCTCTTCTAATCTGCGCTTGCGGGCTAGAAAAGTCGCCCGAGCACTTCTTCTTTTGTAGACTCAATCGGAGTCGGTCCCGCCTTTGCAGAGGAAATAAACACCCAACGACGGAAATTCGCTGGATCCTAGGCTCACCTGAAGGAGCCATAGCTTTTAGTAAATGGCTTCATGAAACGAGCTTTTTTGAAGCATGCAACAACAAGACTAACTAGTACCCCAAATTATATGCACTTGGCCTGTATTTGCTAGAGCTAAATTTAGAAGACTTCTGGTCTAGGTGATGGTGTCAAACAGATTACCCTAAGCTTAAATGTTATCTCATGATGTTTAAGTTGAGTAGTTTACAAGCAAGTAAACTGGGCTGATGCATCAAGGGCAATAACTTAGTCATGCAAATGTTACAATTAGCGACTAGACGGATGGCCAATTTCATACGCACAACTCCCTTGTTTCACTCCTTCTATTGCCCATGATAATGTAACAGCCAATCTTAGACCCATGTATGGAACAGAGATTTGAGTAGTTCGTATTGGCAATCTAATATTCAGTCTATATTTGGAATTAGTAGGATACTCAAGATGTATATAGTACCTAGATAGATTCCTCATGGGAGAGACAATCAATTCAATAAATTCTGAGAGAGATTCATATTAGTATAACTTTGCTTAACAGATGGATAACTTTCCTTTTCATATATATAACTATCTTCTCTATTGTATTAGAATACAAAAGTCTCAGCTCGAGAGTACTTTTGGCTTCTTTCGATAGTTCGGGGTGCATGGCAGGTAGGCCTTGGCCCATTTATAACATGTCGGGCTTATTGAAAGGTATCGGCACGTCGGGTAGTTTATGTAGACTGAGCTGGCCAACACGAGACCTTAAGGTTGTGTTGTGAGCTAGCACGACGTTAAATAATTATATAAAAAAAATATATATATATATATAGTCATCACACAAACAGCATTTGGCACGACATCTATTCGTATTCGAATCCGAACGCTACCGACGAACCCATATCACTTACGATAGATACAAAACTGGAAACTGACCGACAAGTCGGCAACAATGCCTGCTTTAAGGCGGAGGAAAAAGCTCA